TATATTAAGATATTTCTACTAACGTCGACGTCTCTCAATATATATGATATATATATATCAGAGAAATGTAACTTTCACTTTTTCGACACTGGTCGATAGGCTTATCGGTCAGGAAGAAGATTTCTATTTAGGTAAATTAGAAAATAATATTAACAGGTCGCTTATCGCAATTTTTTATTTTTTATTTAGTAAGATAGAAAAAATTTTATAACTATCTAACAAACAGTAATACAGCATTGCTCTACATAGATTTTTGTAGTAAATTTACCGCTCTACAAAAAATATTTTTTATCATTTTTTCATAAATTTAACCGTTCAAAAGATATTCAAAGTTAAAGTTTGATAAATTTTATAATGTTAATATTAATTAATATTAAGGGCTCAAACTTTAACAGGTATCTTATTTTACCCTCCTGCAAGTATATATGCTATTCGTGAAATAAAAAAAGGCATAGTTCTTTTAAGAAAAAATATGTAACATCAACAATGTATGATCAACGGACAGTATATATTTCAGCTTTTATTTATTGTATTACAATTATTAATAAAATTATATAATTTCCTTCATTCACGGTCGTACTTATTCGTATCCTGCGCCGTGACATGTCATAAGTACGTTCCGAGCTCATGTGTACCAATGGGCCTGCTTAGTCTGCCTAATTCTCTATTAACATTTTTTGTCATATTTTTTAAAGGTTTATCTATGGTAATTTCATAAAGGAATCATTCCGCCGCACATGATAAAAATTGGAATACATTATACGTAGAGTTTAAAAATGTAAAGATTTTTTGCATAAATACATTGTCATATTTATATTTAACAGACTGTTAAATCTACATATAATTTTCTGCAAAAACTAATGATGTTACAATCACGCCAATATTTGTTTTACTGTCCTAAAAAATAAACAAAGTTTTATATATATTGCATAATTATACATTTCAAACATAAAGAAACGAGTAAGAATTAAAATAACAATTTTAGCCAAATAAATATATTACAACTTCTCTCTACAACTAATTTTGCATGTAATGGGAACAACAAAATAATTTGAAAATGTTCTTTATCAATTCTTTTAGAAACTGCGGAGAGAGTATTACAATAAGATACATGTGGTGCAACAATAAAAGTAAAGTTTTATGGAAATGCACCTATCGGATTCTACAAATACAAATATCCTAAGAAGCTTTGCGAGCAAGAAAGTTATGGTGCTAAAATATTTTATTTCTTAGCCAAACATATGGATGGAGATATCAACAATAACGTAAAATACCAGTGGTTGGATCATGAAGAATTAGAAAAAGTATTACCTACTGGAGTACAACAGAGTATTTCACAATTTATGTTTACGTAAAGAATATAAAATAAAATATAAAATATTGAACTCATTCTTTGATCTCTTATTAATATTGTCTATTATTACCGTAATATTAACATTATAAAGAACTCCTAATATCCTTTTTAAAGGAAAATATTCCGACGATTATTAAAATTTCATGTTTGATATTCTTTAACAAAAAAATTTTTCGTTACTAAAGAAAATATTTTATGCATATATTATTTTTAAGTAGTAGATTGATTTTGTAGAAACAGACAAAAATTAATTAGATCAATTTTATCAATTTTTTTATTTATAATATAAAAAAATTATTAAAATAGTGTTTTTTATATTATTTATTAACGAAGTATATCTTACAATTAGAATCTCCCGGGTCTCTTTCGTCCAGTATATTTGGAGTCATCTCTAACTTCTTTTCCTTGCCGGCGCCGCCTTTCTTTCTTCTCTAAAATCCAGTCCCTACTTTTCTTCAATGATTTACCCTTGGCTTTCTTTATGTATTCCCTATGTACAAAAAAATTATCACAATTTTTGGAAGGTGAAATAGAGAAATATTTAAAATAATTGCAAATTACAAAATAATAGATATAACGGACAACGAGAGGATCAAACCTTCTTGAATTAGCGACGGTTTGTCTATCTTCGTTTTCTACGCCTAGTGCCTTTGAAAGCGGAGCAGCTCCGGTCATTAAAACCAAGACCATTTTCTTTGCTTTTGCGTTATTCAGAAAATCGACAACTACACCGCCATAAAAGTCAGCTTTTGTGACTTGTGCCGTGATTAATTCAACAACCTGTTCACCGTTCTCTGGATAGAATTGTAACACTGCTCTTGCGCTTCTTGACAGATATGCATACAACGTTGATAAGAAACGATATAAACGTTTTGTAGGATTGTGCAAAGTTTTGCTTGCATAGCACAACCACAAGCGCAGAAATACTGACAGCCCCATCAAACGTACCAGCTTTAAATGGCAATCCTTGACCTATATCTCCCAAAATTAAGTCACTATCTAATTCTCTTTCATCAACAGCTACGTCTAAAAATAAAATAATGTATTAATATGATATTATGGCTACGGTCAACGTGACACTACAAATGCTTCGAAGCATTCCTCTTCTCTTTTCTTTCAATGAAGAAAGAAGGAGAAGAAGAACGCTCCAGAGCATTTGTATCACGTTGATCGTAGCCCATATATCAAGATATATATATATATCTTTCAGCAACGTGCACAACTTCATTTGAGGTTATAATTGGGTACAACATTCATCGCACGATACTTTTATAATTGCAAATCGGAAACGTACCTCGAGTTCAGCTCTTCTGCGATCAACGAAGTCGGGATCGAACGTGTCAGTCGTCACTTTCTGCCAAGCGTAGAGTACCTTCTTTTCCGGCAGCGATGGTAACACGATGTAGGGATACGAAATCTCCAGATAAGCACGAAGCAATTCAATTCAGTATATCGCCGGCACGATTACGGTGTTACTGTCGTTTCGCGTACGCGCGTATGCGCGCGTTGTCGCACCTTACCTCGCGACGCGTAATAAAGAGTCACACGGTCGGTCTCGCTCCGCGCGTACTACCGTGTCTCTCGATCGATTGAGATAGGTTAACTGATCAGATGAACTGACTGACAGGACAGCGCTCTAAACGAACGCACTGTCTGCACTGCACTGCACTGCGATACTAACGCCGCTAGCCGCCAGTGTCGAAAAAGTGAAAGTAACGTTTCTGATTATGACGTCATCATATAAAACGTCGGCGTTAGAAGTAGAAGAAGAAGTATCTTAATAAAAAATTTTCACATTTGGACTTTGCGTCGCAATATCTCCGCTCGTAGGGCACGGAGCGGAATATTATAAAAGAAACCCCCCCCCCCCTAATTGGACCCCAAGCTATCGATCAAGCCTACTTAGAACTTGATCCGTTCACTCGTTATCGAGATCTCAACATCTCGAGTACTCGCAACCCGTCGCGTCGCGTAAAAGAGTCACGGTCGGTCTCGCTCCGCGTGTACTTGGCGCGAGACACTACCGTGTCTCTTGACCATTAAGGGGATGTGTTGGATGGTAATGGTAAATGTTGCGTTGGCAGCACTAGCGTGTTCCTAAAAGCGGCGTTCCCTGTTTTACCTCTTAAGGTACAATTTCACGGAGCGAAGAAAAGCCAGCGTTTTACCCCCACTCCATCAATTTTCGTCAAGGTGGCGTTATGGCGTTGCTTAGCTAAAAAGTTCAACACGGTTGAACTTTTAGCGAAGCAACGCCGAACGCCGAAAACACGTGGTGACACAAAGAGAAATAAGTACACGTGGTGACACAGAAAGAACGAAGTTGAAAAGTTATAAGAAAGAAGTTAAATAATTATAAGTATGGCTGAAGGGACGGATAATTTTACATCGCCAGAAAATACAAACAAAGTTAGTATCTATATATTATACAGTACTAAGCATACTTATAGGTTAGGTTGCTTTTTATTTCTTATTTATTTAAGTAATATAAATTTATTTGTTATATTGTGTTAATTTGTATTTGTTATATTGTAGGAAACTCAAATAGCCGCAACATTACACCACCGGCGGTAGTACCAACATTGAGGGCGAGGTGAAGAATATGAAATTCGAGAAGCCAGAAGAGCCAATTATTACTTTGGAGGTAATTTATCATTTTACGAAATTATAAGAGAAATATTTAAAATAGAAAGATCTGACCTTTTTGATATACGAGTTACTTGGGGATGTTCGCAGGAGGCCAAGAAAGGTGATATCGAGAAGAAAATGAAGTACCTCGAGCAAAGACTAGACCTGGAGCTTGGCACCTTCAAATTGACCGACGCCTACGAGGAAGCCATTAACTATTCCTTCAGACCTGGCGCGGTCAAAGCTGTCGTCTCAGTCCTTGCTACCCCCTGCGAGAAGAGTCCACTGCCAATATCAGTGAGCTTCCACTCGCGATCACGTTGTATCACTAATTATTATTTATTAAAGTCAGTCGATGGATCGGACGTATTACAAGTTTACGAATGATTTTACAAATATCGCTTAACTGCAACTACAATTTGTTATTTATTTTATATTTCTCACTTTCGCGAAATGTAATTTCAGACAAAAACGAAAAGCTAATTAAAGTTAGGTGCTGATGGAAACTAGAAATAAACCATTGGTGGAAAAGACTTTCCTACTTAGTTATGCGTTACTGTAGAATCACAGCGTAATACTTTCATTTTTTCATTTATCAACGTTAACAGAGGGATTTCAAATTGGTTTTTCAGTTGCAACAATTGAGGATTATAATTGGACAGAAGGTGTACCGAGATTTGGGTCTGACTTACTATCACGTGTGCTATACCAATGACATCCAGGTCTCCGGCAAAGCGCAAAAGAGTATTGTTGGTTACGATAGCGACAGCGTATATGTATTCGGCGACAACAAGAAGAAGCCACTGAGTGGAAACACCGAGCTTAGAAACAACATGGTTCTCCCTACGGTTGACGTGTGTGCCGACTTTGCTATCGCGGTAAGTATGCAAAGAAACAAAAAAGAGAATCAACTTAAGCATCTTGAAGAGATAATTTTTGAATTAATGAATAAGTTGATTACCCTAAATACATCAAGAATAATTGATGAAGAGTAATCGGATCGGTTATTACACCGTAACGTTATTGCAGTCTGGCGGAGCGGCGTTCAATTCCAGCAATTTGGTGGACGCTAAACCGAATCAGAAGAGGCAGTTCTCTCAAGTTACCGCTAGAAAGATCGTCGAGGACCTCACGAGTGTCGAAATTGAACAAGATTGCGTTTGCAACCAATTTCACGGAATTAAACAGCCTCGTTGTAAGATCGTGGGACGCAAGGAGAAGGAACAACTTGCGGTAAGTGTGCACGTTTCAAACCATAATCGCGGTAATACTCGTGAGCTGCGCTATGGTATAATTAACGCCAACACGGCGTTAACTATGTAAATTCAGTCGAGGTAACATAGGCGTTAAAAACAATACAATTTATCTTATCGCGCTGTTATTATGTTGCAGAGACACACGAAAGGAGGAGTGAAGGGTTGAAGGAGCCACAATACTACGCATACTATTATTACTAATTAATTTAGATGTAATCTATTTGTTATTTTGTTACAATATCGTAAAAGCTCTTTTTGATAGAGTGATAAGTGATATAATTGCATCATTCGGTCGGTATTGCCGATCCTCCACAGATCGAAAAGAATATCGGGTGCAAGACTCGAATTGTGCCTCATGACAACTTCCTTCGTTTTCTAGATCTAACATAAACATATGCAAATTAATGCAATTAGTGTACCATTTATCGATGTACCAGCGATGTTTTACAGAGAGAAATAAACATTGAACATACTGCTGTTCGTGTGTAATTGAAAACTTGTTAGTGCTTTCGCGCCCTCCAGCAAAATTTTCACCTGTGTTCTATTCACATCGAAAGAAGAAGCGTCATAATTATTTTATGCTCCTGCGCAAAAAATATAAGATTTTAATACTTCGAGATGCGCTATAATCGTGCACTACGATTCAGGCTTTGAAAATTATGGTTTTATCTTATCTATAAAACATATAAGTTGCATTGTTTCCAATCTTCTGAAACTTTCAAAAATATACGATGAGAAAACCCAGTATTCCTAATAACTTTATCCTATTTCTTCATTTAAAATTGTAACGATGATAATATTGACGATCATAAGTTATATTTTATACAGTTTATATATAGTTTTATAACGTGCGAGAGATTATTTATGATACCTTGAATTAAAGATGAATGACCTATATGGGGAAAAACTGACTTAATGTTTTACGAAAAGAAGTTAAGTGGCTTCACGCAAAGTTAAACTTATACTTCACATCCGATATACCTGAATGTTTAAACAGATCATAATGACAAAACGCGATTCTCGATTGCGTAAGAGCAAAACTAAAATGTGCGTTGTCGAACTGTAGTTGCCAGGACTATAATACGCACATATATTTTTTATTAGTGCTAAATATAGAGCGTTCCACAACTTGTGACTTTGATAGTCCGACTAATCTAAAATTGATTTTTATTTAGTGGAAATGTCAGAAGTCACTATTTATCGCTGCTTTCGATTTTCGACGTCACATGTTTTCGTAATTAAGCTTTCATGCAACGAAGGTGCCCTAGCAAAAAGCAAAAACAAATATTTTTTAATATTATTTTTTAATATTTTTTAATATTTTTTGTTGCGGCCTTTTCTTCGCGTATCTTCTTTTTTTTTTCATTAAATATATAGCTGCAGCTGTAGCGGCTATGCGTCGTCTCCTTACAACCTCTGCTGCAACTGCAGCTGCCACTGTACGTCTATAATATTCAACGTACGCGATGTACTGTCTATAATAATTGGAGTACTCCATTTTTATTATACACAGTTCTTCTTTAGCTGTTCTACGCTGGCTTTACAGTGAGGTGGAGTGGGGATAAACGCCAGCTTTTCTTCGCTCCATGAAAATGATAGGGGCAGCGTTAGCTGTTCTACGCTGGCTTTACAGTGAGGTGGAGTGGGGATAAACGCTGGCTTTTCTTCGCTCGCATGAAATTTCATCTTTACGTTTTCATCGCGTACGCGCCAGATTCTCCTCAGCGAGCAAGCCCGCAAGCGTAGCGTTCTTTTGTACTGAAGTTTCTTTTAATATTAAACGCAACGTTAAAATACCCTGTAATATTTATCAGTTACTTCTCTTTGATCAACACAAAATGTGGATTTGACAAAAATTTTGGCCAACTTCCCACAAAACACTTTGACACCAAAACACCAATGCAACGTCACGGGGTACTTTTGCTAGATGAGATTAATGTCAGAAAGTCTATTGCCGTCTGTTCGAAAAATCTTACTTACGTTGGATTGACGGACCCGGCGATGATGGACCACAATCTTTGGATATAAACGAACAAGCAACTCATGGTCTCGTCATGATGTTCCAACCGCTCGCGGAGAAATATACCCAACCTATAGCTGTATTCGCATTAAAAAATCCCGTGAGTGGCGACGAGCTCGCTAAATTGGTGGTGAAAGCAATTGCTTATCTAGAGAAATGTGGAGCTAAAATTTACGGGGTCATTTCGGATGGTGCTCATACAAACAGAAAAATGTGGTCTCTTCTGGATGTTAGAGATTCACTTCACGAAACGTGATTTAAAAACGTGGTTTAAAAACGTGACTTAAAAACGTGGTTTACTCATCCCCTTGACAATGAACGTAAAGTATTCGTCTTTTCTGACGTGCCGCATGTGTTCAAAAATATCCGGAATCGCTTGTACAATAAACGTCGCTTGAGGGTAAGTCGTATGGACATAAAATCTTAAATATATTTAATGAATATATGAGGCATTCCACGGATTTTCAGTAAGGTCAAAACTCTAACCATTTTTCTGAGTGCTGTAACTTCGAAATCATGAATTAAATAAATGAATAATTTCTTTCATGTCACGTAATGTCTGGTTTGGAGCCTTTATGAATAGGATTATATTATTATATATATGTGTTAATGCTAACAGATCTCACAATGAAAAAAATTGCAGATAAATTCAGAGAAAAAGTACATTGAATGGAGATTCTTCGAGATTTTATTTGATCTCGATACCAAGCATATCGGAAATGCCAGAGCAGGCTATCTAAGAGACACATTCAATTAGATAACACCTCTAAAATGCGTGTTCGTTTGGCAACCCAGGTATCTATATACTTTCTTTCTCCATTTACATGTTCGATTTGCTGTACAAATCATTAATCTAATATTTTTTTGTTTGTAAATATCACATCCAGTCCTGTCCTCGTTGTTTCAATACCACGATCCGAGCACGCTACGTACGTTATTTTTATCCGATGCAATTTAATGTTATTCTTCTTTATATCACAGATCTTCAGTAATTCGGTCGCGCAAGGGTTAGCTTTCTACTTATCTTAAAAATGTGAAGCACTTACTGATTACGAGGAAACAATTAATTTTTATAAACGTATAAATGGATACATTTGATGCCTTAAATAGTAAAATGCCGAACGAAGGTCTGACACCCCAATCTCCGGACTTTAAGGTAATTTATTGTTTATCCTCATTGTAGTCCTCGTCCTCGATCCTCGATGTAGTCTTGCTTCGCTTTATTTACTCCTTATATATTCCTTGTAATCTTAAAATAAATAAAATCATCGATAGTTACTGTAAAGGTAGCACACGCACATTTCTGAACACTAATCTTTCAGATACTACAAGACTCTCTACAGTGGTTGAACGATTGGCAATCTATTGTACTCACAGGCAAAATAAGTCCTGACGAATTTTTAACGGTGAAAACAGCTGACGGATTAATAGCGAATTCGGGCGCTTGCACTAGTGCACACTGAGTGCGCACTAAGGCTTGTTTATAATCTAATTCTTATATTTAGAGTCGCTTAAATACACATTTAAAAACTTTTTAGCCAATAAAACAATCTGTAATATCTATATGGATGCTGTACAAATCATTTTACAGACTAATAAGTATTTAAGATGATCTGTAAATATAACAATTGATTAAAAACAAGCCTTAGTGCGCACTCAGTGTGTACTAGTGCTAACGTCCGAATTCGCTATAAGAGTATCATTAAAATCTACCATGGATATGAGTCATTATACAGAAATTTGATTTCAAATATTTGTTGACCGGCAAAGTGAACCAAGATAATCTGGAGGTGATCCATAATTGTAACTTAATTACGTTTATTGGTCAGTGCACAATACGTAGATTTTAAACACTGTTGTATAATTTATGATTATGTAATATGTACGGAAAAATAAAAAAAATTTTCTTTATAAATCGACCCCAAGCTATCAATTAAACCTACTTAGAACTTGATCCGTTCACTCGTTATTGAGATCTCAACATCTCGAGTACTCGCAACTCGTCGCGTCGCGTAAAAGAGTCACGGTACGGTCTTGCTTCGCGTATACTTGGCGCAAGCACTACCGTGTCTCTTGATTTATAACTTATTTATTGCAGAAATTTTTTGGCACGATCCGTCAGGCAGCAGGATGTAACGATCACCCCACTTGCCCTACATTTTTACAGCTATATAAATTGCTCTCAGTTTATAGCGTAATTAAACCTCCTAAGTATGGTAATTGTACCATCGCGGCATCGTGAAGAAATCAGAGCCAAAGATCATAGTGTCCCTGAGTGATCTGAAGGCTTTAAATGGCGAAAAATCGAAAACGAAAATGGCTGAGTATCGTGATGAAATTCGGCAAAAATTGGACGCAGCTTTAGAACACGAAGAATGGGAGGCCGACGATCTCATCGAATGCAGTTCTGATTATGACTTTGAACTTTCCCCAACTATAGACTGTATTAGTTATTTATATCACACGTGCGTGGAAAGTGGCCCATTACGCGCGCGCTATCTGTGCGACAAATAGCCAATTCCATACACGAGTCAAAACAGTGCGGTAATGTAACATTATCGCACTGTTTCGACTCGTGTGTGGAATTGGCCATCCGTCGCACAGATGACGCGCGCGCAATAATGGGCCACTTTCCACGCACTTTGTAATATAAAATAGGGTGTGTAACACGTGCGGGTTGAGAATTGGACACGGGTGCGGGGTGGACGCACGAGCCGAAGGCGACTTCCCGCACTTGTTACACAAATAACTATTGTAATGTTACATTACCGCACTGTTTTGACTCGTGTATGGAATTGGCTATTTGTCGCACAGATGGCGCGCGCGTAATGGGCCACTTTCCACGCACGTGTGATACTGCCACGTGTGATACAATATATATATCGCATGCGTGATAGACCACTTTCCAGGCACTTGCAACATAAAATAGGGAGTGTAAGTCGTGTGTAAAGATAAAAATTTCCGGGTGCGGTTACCGCACTCGGGAATTTTCATCTTACCTTGTTACACAAATAACTATTTCGTATCCCGCTGAAGAATACCGAGTGATTACGTATAATGTACATGATTTTTACTAAAATATTTGTATTGTCTTCAAACTTTTTTACAATAATAATTATTTCGTAGATAATTAGAAAATTTTTAAAATATATATGCTAAACGCATTTATCTATTTATAAATGTTTACGATACTAAAAAAAATTGAATCGTATTCATCTTACTAACATTTTTATTTATTCATTTTTTCCATTATATGCAACATGTCAAGTAAAAACGTGATCAATGTAATTTTCGTATAATTAGCAAAATTTTTCGTGCATCAAGTAGAGGAAATTTCGATACAACGCGTTAGAAGCGATACAACAAGACCTTTCAAGAGAACTTTAATTTATAAAGAATTTGTACAATCGCGAGAAAAAAACATTTATTATTCTGAGCAAAGTAAAAGATGAGCTTTGAGAGTACAACGCGGTTAA